TTTCCTATCGTTGCCCAAAATTACACCGGTATTACCGTGAACGGTATGATATAGCCCAGCCCTACAGTGTCCACATAGACACAGACCTCCAATGGACCTCAAACACCTCTGAGGTTATAAAGCAGGCCCAACAGCATCTCCATTTTCTGAGAACCCTCAGAAAAAATTGACCTTACGTGGGAGCTGCTGATCATCTTCTACAGTTGCTCCATTCAAAGTGTGTACTGCATCTCTGTATGGTTCTCTAGCTGCACAATGGCACACAAAAAGGCACTTCAAAGGGTAATTAAATATGGCCCCAAAAATCACTGGACTTCCTCTTCAAATCCTGAAGTTTAGCACTTGCTGCCTCAAGAGGGTACGCAGCATCCTACAGGATTGCACAGACCCAGGACACCGGGCGTTTGAGCTGCTGCCATCTGGCAGGAGATTCAGGTTGCTGAGGCCACGGAAAAAACAGACTCAAGGACAGCTTTTACAACAGGGCAATAGCCCTAATCAATGCTAACAGCTGACCTGATTGGTGATCTCTCTATACTTTTTGAGGGCAATAATGTGCAATAAACATTCATTCTTTAATTTATTAAGTCATACTTTTTTTGCACTTTTTAAAAATCCACTTTGAAGTCTACTGTGTTGTGTTGTGCTTAGTGCCGAAGTGGGACAGTTTCTAATTTCATTGTACTTTAGTACCAAGTATGACTGCAATGACAATAAAGAGTTATCATATCCCATTTTATCTTATGTCTTCGTACCTGAGAAGATGTGGACAGAGCACCGTGCCCATATTGATACTGGCTGAGAGCAGAATTTAGCCTGCGAACTGAAATGACACAAAAACGAGGACACTTACACAAAAAAGCATAGATGTTCTAGTGATCATCACAAGCAGACGACTGTAAACATCCAAAAAATGCACGCCATATAATTGATTGATTTTTATACAGGGACCACCTATGGCTTAAAAAAGAAATTAACATAGAATAGTGGCAAAAACTGATGGACTAGACGGCGTAACAGAAAAATATGCATGTAGTTTACAAGTTTCGTCTCACCTTGATCACGCAAAAACTCCAGCTCTGCCTCCATGCTTACGGTGTCGTCTAAAGAGAAGCAAAATAATTTGCACTGGCAAAAACGACCACCACCACCAAAACTAAAGACGAACACTTAAAGCCTGTCAAACCTGGCACCTCTAATCTAGGGTTTTTTTCCAAGTTAACGTTTCGGAACACGAAGAGAAAACTGTCGTTTAAGAATGTACTAATTCAGGTAAAGATGACACAAAGCCGCTAGAAACGTTCACTACAAACTAGCTAGCTACCTGTAGTAAATTTGTGCAGCTCGTGTTAGCTAAAGCAGCTAATCAATCTCGGCTAAGCTCATCAAAACAACTCAGTGTTTTGATCTCTTCAACAAAACACCAAACACATTTTCCGAGACAGGATGCGCATAAAAAAAATACGCAAATGCATCGCATTGAAATTTTAAATTCATAATAGAGGTTTTTACTTCAATCCTCGTTTCCGCCTCTTGTTTTGAAGTAAACAAACGGGGACCAATGGAAAAGAAGCTGTGCAACCGTAAAATCATTCCGCCTGTACAAGAAACGCGAAAGGATGTTCCTTTTAAAAAAATAAAAATCAGGAAGCAGATGTAGAATACATTTGGAAGTCAATAATGCCAACTCTGCATATATAACAGTTTGAATTCGGTTGTTTGTTAAGGTATGATATATAACGTCATCACGTGAAAAGAGATTATGGTTTCTAGTTCGTCAGAATGTGTCAAAAATAGTGGTTTAAAAATTGCTGGATAGACATTTCCATACAGATGTAACCACATATTGCATGTAAACGTAAACAGCATAGAGTTGGAAAATATCGTCCTCTGCTTGTCGTTTTAATCTCAGATCTTATCAAGTAAGTGTAATCGTCGGACGTTTGCTTTACCAGGAAAATGATTTTACTGTCTTGTTACTGATAACATTATTCTGTTTGACACAATTTGATAACAAACTGCTTAAAGGGTGAAACGCAGAGTATTTAAAGAAATTACACGCGCACTCGGAGCACTCTTGTCCTGTAGCCAGTGAAAACAAACATGGGGGTGACTCGTGGACTGCAGTTTATAACATTTATCCACATTCTGCTATGCTGTGAATCTCTGTAAGTTTTGTAGCTTCTTTGTTCCCTGTGTCGCTGCTCACACAGCAGATTTTAAGACTGAGTGATTTTCTTTCTTTCAGTCCTCGCACGCAAATGCAGTTTGACATCGAACACACTTGGGACAGCAACCCTGTGAATCATGACCCCCTCAAAATCACCTTCTCTCCTGGGTTAGGAGGCCTGAAGGTGGAGGTGTCTGGTCCATTCTTCAATGACCCGGCTGCTCCTGCAGGGCCCCCAAGCCAGGCCTTCCCTGGACTGTGGAATTATGAAGGTGGGTAGATTGGTCTGTTGCTTCTATAGCCATGCAACCTTTCTTTTAACACAAGACACAAGCTTTTAGGGGTTTAGTCCGTGCAAAAAACCAAACAAATCGATTTTAGTTCGAATAATGTGATATGAATTCATGATATCCTGAATTTTTAAATATAAATATTTTTTATATCAGAAATGCCAGAATGTCAGCTTAAAGCTCACAAAACTATTTCAACAACCGCCAAACAGGTAAAACAGCAAACGGTTAAAAGAGCCAGTAAAAAGATTCTGCATAAAGATGTAAACACAAAGCGCGACCGTCGGGTTGCCTACACTGACATGTCGTCGGGTGCTGAATGTCGACATCTCACAGATTCTGAAGCTGTCGGTTTCGTCACTCCAACCGAAATTCACTGAACCAGCAGCAAAAGAAGATCAAAACTATGCTTCATGTTTGAAAAATATCTTACCTTGGTTGTTTTGTTTCCACCACAATAAAATTACACTTCCTGCACAGCTCTCTCTCTCAGTGTACATTAAGGACATTTTTTGCCATCACAAATTTCTATTTTCTGAATTATTCGCTTGCTTATTACACATCAGTCTATCGTTGTTTACAGTGCTATCGGCCACTGTTTTTTTTCTTTCAAAAATGACCTCTGACAAGACCTGCTGTCAATACATTACAAAACGCTTAGCTCTGTCTCTAATAAAAACCTCTGTAACTTTGCTCTGCTTCACCTCAACAGCATCAGGTAATGTTCATATGCTGATTTGTGGTTTTCTTCCATTTTTGTTCTACTGCGGAATATTTTTAAGGCGGTTATCTGCTATAAAAAGCCACCCCATGAAAATCTCCTTCATGTTTTTCTGTGTTTTATCCTCAGTTACTTTGACACAAAGTCATCTACTGTGATTCTTACAACTCTGATGAAGTCTCACAAGTGTCAGCTTTGCTTTTATTGCCTACATAGATATAAAAATATGGATATGTACTGATAAATGATCAGAATTATAATATTTCTGACTGAGTCAAAATTGAATCGAATCGGGACCTTGTGAATCGGAATTGAAACAGTTATAGAAATCAGTGACGATACCCAGCCCTATTATAAAATATATATATGTTATAAAATACCTTTAGCCTTACGCCCTTAATTAGTTTAAGTATCAAAGGTAGCCCCATTTGCAAATTATTAATGTAAAATAGAATCCCCTTTTAATCACTTAATTGGGTTTCATAATTTCAACTTTTTTTAGATGTTTGTTATTGACAGGAAAATGCAGTCTGTTATATATATGCACAGTATGCTTATTCATATTATATTAAATTAGAATATTGACGAGTTTCATATATACCTATACAACATGAAACTAGTCCCATGAAACTGTTATTTTCTTTAACCTCAGTTTGGAAAACAAACCTGCTCACCAGCGCCTCTAAAACTCACAAATTAACATGTTATGTTTTATTTGTTTAATCTGTTCCCATTTGGCCCATCTCATATTAAACTGCTATATACAAAAGCTAACCAGCTGCTAGCTGAAGCGTAATATTTCAGAGACCTTTCCCTAATTGTAGCACAATTCTTTTAAACGCTTATAATTAACAAATGAGAAACAGCAATTATATAACCGACAAGCTCCAGACTTCATAAGGCTGATCCCAACGGAAATTCATTATCTTTAAAAAGGTCACATTTATGGCTTATTGTAATAGATTTTAGTATTGTACATGTATTACTTTTATGGTCCCCATGCTTGTTGTAGCCGTAGTTACGGAACCATCAGTTATGATTATGTAATTTAGTCCCTAGGATGCAATTTTAGGCCCTTTGGCAAGCTGAAATAATATGAATAAAGTCTACTGTGGCTGAAGAGACTAGAGACTGTCTGTTTATGGGATCATTACAGTAACTGCATTATCATTATTATGGCGACACAGCAATTAAACCTCACAATGAGGCTGAGTAATAACAATTGGTTCTAATTGACCTCAAGTAAGTTCGATTTCCGTTTAATGAGCCCCACATATTTGGTCTCATTAATGTTACTTAATAGATTGGAAACCAACCCCATTATGATCTAGGTAGATAAAGAGCATGCTTCTAGGTTAGTGAGTGTGCTGCTCACATAATTGTATTTAAAAGTTTATGTAATTGTTATTTTTGCATGTTACAGTTAAAGTCCGAGTCAAAAATGAATGACCTGAATAATTTAATTATTACTTTTTTGTCTTTTTTTTTTTCAAAATAAGTGCTGATAAGGTTAATAACACAGTTAAAGCAGTTTATTAATGTGAGATTAAAAGTCTTATCTTCATTTTTCCTTATCTCATCAGTTGTAGAGACCTTCTTCCTTGATAGTACTACAGAAAATTACCTGGAAGTCGAGTTTTGTCCGTGAGTACCAAGCTGAGCTCTTGCTCTGCCCATGTATATATAGCCATATGTTTATACACAGTTGAACAATGACACGTCTTCCCTGTGTTTTTACTTTAGACATGGACAACACCTGATATTACTACTGTCAGGAGCCGGCCAAGCATTCCTGGTAGGCTGCGTATGGAGGTATTCGTAGGCTTTTTTTGGGGGTTTATGGGATATTTCTTACATTTTTGATTTCTCTCTCCAGCAACAGCTTCCCATGGTATTTAACACCAAGATCACTGGAGACAGATGGACAGGTGAGGCTCTCATCCCTTGGACATACTTCCCTCCCAATGTCAACAAGATGAACTCCTACGCGATCCACGGCTCAGGAGAGAATCGTATATATGAGGCTCTTTATCCCATCCCCAAGGGGGAGATAGCCGAAGGACAAATGCCTAACTTGTGAGTATGCTGACTTCTACAAGTGAAGTTTGATGTGCCATTGGTCATGTGCACAGACATTTTGTGTTTTAGTGGGGCTGTCGTGAGGCATTGAGACATTTTGCAACAGAAAAAAGAGGTTCATGTGCAAAATCACACCTTTTTTGTATATTCTTTTAAAGGTACAGTAAGTCATTTTGTAGAAAATTTAAAAGAAAAAAGAATTTTACACTAATTCATTAAAATATTCATAAAATACATACAAAATAAATAGGAGAGGCCGCCAGTTTATGGAAGCCATGGCAACATCTTGAAAACAGCAGCCAAGATAGAAATCGCCGTTCCATCTAATAACATTTTATATACGCGGCTAGAGACTGTCCATATTCGTGGTATTACTATTAATTCAAATGTCATAAATAGCTCTTTCAAACTCCATAGGACTATTTAACATTTGCAAATGTATATTTTCCTTATCGCTTTCTCCTCCTCTTCATCTGCCTTCTTCACCACTGTTCTCTCCTCCCTCATTTCCACCTCGTGGTTTTCCTCCTCAACTGAAGTCTCATTTCACGAACTGAAATCAGTGCTCTAACACACAAAACATGCATAAACATGCTTATTTATTCTGGTTATTCTCCTTATAAGCTAATATTAATCAACCGAATGTAGGATCTAAAAATTATGCTTTCCCGGTTGATTACATTCTCATATTGTATGACAGTTTATTTGCTATCTGTCCAACAATGTTAGATCCACTTCAAAGCAAGTTTCACTAATGCCGGTTACAGCAGCTAACTGGCAACAACAGCACCACTTACCAAGAGAAAAGTTCACTGGAAGTTCACTGACTCATATAACACTCCTTTCACAAAGTTTTACAGCCTCCACCAGGTTAAATAGACTAGGACACTCAGCATATTGAAAACTGAGGTAAACAGCGGACTGACAGCCTACACTCAAAACTGTTAAACGGTAGTCTGCAGCCAGAATTTTTGAGGTATCTTGGGTTTTAAAAACCTAAAATACTGCAAAAATATTTGGCAAATTTCTTTTTTTTTTCTGATTTATTGCTACGTGTTGATATTATCCAAATATTTTTAAATATTGCGCGCGCAAAAACAAATTAAATTTTTCTGATCTCTCTCGGCTGAGTAAAACATGTTTGTCCTACAGCAAACGTAAATAATGCACTTGAATTGGGAGGGGTACGGAAACAGGAAACTGCAGTCTACTGACATCTAGTGATGAGATTTTGCATACTGCACCTTTAAGTTGTAAAACAGGTGTAGATCAAATTGTACTTAGGTCCAATCCACAATCTGTACCTTTTAGAGTCACATTAGTCAACTTTGTCATTTCAAATTATATGTAGATAAATGTGTATTTCACTACTTTATGCATAATATATTCAATTTGTCTTTCTGTCTTCTAGCCACCGGCTAGAGTATTTCGAAGATTTTCGCCTGCAGAGCATCATGGGAGAGGGTTGGGTCCAACCACCATCTGATCTATGGCTTGGAAAGCCTTAAGCTTCTCAGAAACACTCCTTCTCTTTGCCTGTTTCACTCTTGCAGACACATATCCACAAAAATCCTCTAAAACAGCAGCAGGGCAATAGGATAAACACTCTCTGACAGGGAACAAAGGGCAATCAATCTTTATTAGTTAATGATGTCAAACGATATGACATGAAATATGTTATCAGCTTGTCAGATTGCGTTAGTCTTCACACACATCTGTGCAAGCACACAAACATGCACTGCAAGATATTGGACGTCGCCACAAATTGCCTGAGCAGAGCGTGACCTACAACAGTTGTACAGTGGAGGAAAGCGCACAGCTTAAGTGTTTGACTTCAGTGAGATAATTCCTTGCAATTCCTCGTGATTCTAAACCCTAAATGTTGAGACGCTGATATTAAAAAAAAAAAGAAAAAAAAGAAAATGTGCATTCTTTTGGGTTTGTCTTTATTGTCATTCCATTACTATGATTAATGTCCTTTATAATAACATATTTTTACATACTGCTGCTGTCCTTTTTCTGTGATTGATGTCACTTTAATTTTATGTCTGATGTTTGATTATGTTTCATTCCCATGTCTGTATATTAAAATAATTATCTGACATTTTGTGGTATAAATCTTTTTCACCTTTTGCCTGGGGGTTAGATATGAAGATCAGTGTCGTCCTCATGTATAGATGCCATTTATGTGGCTAGATGGTTTAATTTCTGACTTCTTCCCAAAACTTTAAACTGCTCCAGTAACTTTACCAATATGAATACCCAGTTCCCTTCTTACATAAAACGGCTGTATGATATGGATCTTAGTGGCATATAAACATTCATAATTAATAGCTGATGAATTTATTACTCTCATATATACACTCACTAGCCACATTATTAGGTACACCTGTGAAACCAAAGCTTCTTCCACATTTTTTGCTTCACTGTCAACTCTACTACTGTTTGCATTAATTTTATAAAGATCATGTTTTTTCACCATATCAAAACACAAGAAAGGGTGAAATATTACGAAATTTGATCTCTTTATTAAGTACAGAGGAATTTACTTTGTATAGGGTTGCATTAGATATGCATCATTCACCTGTACTTAAAAAAGTGTCAGTGAGTATATATATCAAAGACCCCCCTAACTCACTTTTCCACCCACTTTCTGAAGTGGAGATCACAGACCTTCAGATCTCCGACATACACTGACACACACAAACGGTGATTGGGGACTTACAGATCTCTGTGTTCTCTCCATGACCCCCAAGTCAGTCCCTCTTGCCCCCACTGCAGCTCCTTATAGAGCCCGCATATTTATCAGAGACTCCTTTCAGATCACTGACTGGCTAACCTCATCTCCTAACCCATAGATGGCAGGGGGGGGGGGATTGATTTTCATGTTGGCAGTGTTGCTCTTCACTGTGGCAGCCCAAAAGCCTATATTGAGCCCTATCAGTTTTAATTGGCATCCTCGTCTTTGAAATGGGTGCAGTGATTAGGCTTGGAGAGCCCACCTCTTAAGCCTCATCCTTATCATCGCCTGCGGTGATTTGCCACCACACTGAACAATATTCACGAGCACACACATACACACAGAATGGTCGCACTATGCATGAGCATGTCTCACAAATAAAATGTTGACCTAAAATATGTTTTTTTTAATGCATTTCGACAAAAACATGCTCTTTCAGAAAAGCTTTGATGAATACACATGACTACGCGCACCCACCTGTGTGCAGGGCGAGGATGTGTGTCCACACTAAGATTTAAAACCAGTTCTCTCTAATTAGTGTGAAGAGATGAGAGGGGAGAGCAAAAGAGGTAGCTGCCGTTCCTCTACCTCCAAAGCCCCGGCAGACAAGCAGACACGGGAGCTGTCTTATCCCCCTAAGAATAAGAGACCAGCTCGCTCTAAAACATTCAACACCAGCTTAAGGGTGATTTTTCGTGTCAAAAACTTTCTGGTGATCACCCCAGACCCTACTTCATTTTTTTTTTTTTTGTCTCCAAAAGACGTGGGTCTCATTTCCTCAAGTTTAAAGAGTGTTTGAGGGTATGAATGAGGATAAAGTTGTGATGAAAAATAGAATGTGAGGGATAAAGGAGTGATCTCAGAACATGAAAAGAATGAAGAGATTGAAAAAGTGAAAACGGTAATGACTTTGCCTAGTTTTCCGAATTCTGCGATAGGGGTCCAAAAGAAAGAGCTATACTGCAGCTAACGAGATACTGTGACAATTTGTAGCCTTTGCAAGCTAATGCCACAAACAGTATCAGATTGTACAGAGCGATAGAACTTATCAACACTGTGCAGTACACATTCCTTTTATGGCTGGCTTCCAGTACACCACATCACACAAAGAAAAGCGAACTTTGATCAGTGTTCATGAGGAACTTTATCTTACCTAATCACCACAGTACTATTATGCCTAAACAGCAAGCAACCCTTTCCGCATTCTTTCAACAACAGCCAATGATAAACCTGTCATAAAATAAGATAATACCCCACTGGTGCTACATAGTGTCAGTCTTCCATTGAGTTTAAAGTAGATAGGCCTATAATAAAGCATTAATGGAAGGGAACGCGTCCCCTTGTTTTCCTGGACCAGCTGAATGCTTATTAACTCAGTCTAATTATTGTCCAACAAGTCCATCATTGCTGAAAGGGCTGCAGGGTTAAAGAATGGAAAGGGTGGAAGTGCACACAAAAAATATCTCGACCTAAATGCTTCTACGGTGTGTGTGTGTGTGTGCTTGTGAATGTGTGATGACACGAGTACTAATTGCAGTTGAAGCCTGCTAGTGTTGCGGCTACAAGGATGGCATGGCTAGAATGTGGGATGAAGCTGTAAGAGGCTGGGGAGAGAGATGCAAAGCCAAGCGAATGCCAAGGACATTAATGAGGGCCAGACAAGTTCTACTTCTCAAGAACACTGCAGCGAGGAGGGATAAGAGTGGGAGAGAATGAGGGAAATAGAAAATAGAACGAGGAACAGAGGGGTTTCATTACAGAAGAATGTTATTTGCAATCTTAAGCAAGCAAGGGTCTTTTTTCCATTACAGATCCATAGATTGTTCGTGCTAACATGACGACACATAGAAATTCATTGTCATTCTCTTTGTTTTTATATAGTCATACTGATAGGTGCATTTACATTTTGCAGTCTGTATTAAGAATAGTAAGAACAGTTACTCCTGCAGTTTCTCCATTGACACGGAGAAACAGAGAGACAGGCACCGGTGCTCACTTTTTCATGAAAAGGAAGAAGGATTTATATGTTATCATCATAAACATGAAAAATAAATGATAGCAGTACGGAGGCAAGTTAAACTAAATTAAGTTTTCTTTGTTATCAACACAGAATATAAATCACAACTGTTTGCCTAATTGATTCCATTAAATTCCCACCTGCCTACTGAACCTCTCATCCATCACTATATTGTTTATCTTCATTTTTAGCTAGATGGATGAAAAAAGTTGTTACTGGATGTGAAACGTGCTGAATTTCATCCTTTTTTTTTTGCAAACACAATAATTGCCAATTAGAAGTAGCACAACATTATTACAGAATATTTGTTTCTGTACAATAAACTCACAAGAAAGCAAACTCTTTGTACAGAAGTTTGCTCGTTTCGAGGATGCAAGATAGTGATGTTGCTTTGTTTTTAATAGGAAATAGACTGCGTTGAAGGTAATTTATGTGCAGTGATATTAGCGGTTGTAAGCGAACAAGTTCACTAACTCTTAATTGGGAAATAAATCACGGTGTTGCCATAGCAACAAACTCTTAAAAGTGGTCATTGCAAAATGAGAGCTTGCTGAGGTAATGTGTATCTGTGCGTGAGGAGGGGTGGGTGTGTCCACTCATGCATGTGTGTTTTCACCTCCTCAAGCTCATTACCATACAGCCTTGTTAGTAGAGCTTCTGCTAGCTGTTGTACATGGCATCCAGTTTCATTTCATTAGCCCTTGTTTTGTCCATATTGCTATTAAAAAAGAAGCTGTGAGCTTGCTCATTTAAAACAGTGGCAAATGGTGAAATAAGAACGTAGTTAATTGCATATAGTGAACAAAATTACCTAATTTCATTATGTGTCAAAGCTTACCACATATTTGTTCTATATACGCCATGTCTGTGATTGCTTTTTTCCTCTGCTATGCTTTTGTTCACAACTCTATTATTTATATAATCATTTAGTGGCTTTCTTTTTTTCCAACTTTTCAATTTTTCTTCATTCCCTACTCTCCTCACCTCTGTTCGTCTCCAGGGACCTGTCCTCCTCTCTCCTCACCACCCTTCCATTCATGAAATGGATGGAGGCATAAAAAACCATTAGCGCAGATGAATGGATAGACTGGCCTAACACAATCTGGCCCACTTCAGCTGACAGTTTAATATGGACTCTCCCACAGTGTGGTTGCCCCAGCAGGATGCTGCACTAAATCTCACTTTGACTTGCCGTGATTGATACAGATTTGACACATCAAAACCCTGTGTGCATGCATGTGTTTGTGTAGGCATGATGGATATGACAGACGATCGGCAGACGGGTGAGCGGTGAGAGGCAGAACTGATAATTATAGTATTTATCTGGGTTAGGTGTCATGGCTGCCTCTGCTGCATTATGAAAAGATAAAATGCTGAAATGTCTTTCAGTGCATTCCATCAATTCAGCACCTGCACCTCACCTCTTAAATGAAATGCACCATAGAGGAAAGTAATGAAGTTTATAATTTAAATGAGTGTCTCCGAACACAAAGTGCAGAAGGGAAACCTTCACTTATTGTATTTGAATGTCACTTTCACTTCTTTATGCTTTTCAACCACTGAAAGCTCCTCACTGTGCTATATTTAATTTTTCACCTTCATGAGCACTTAAACCTTCTTTAGAAATATCCACCTTTTCTAAATGTGTCATTTTATATAGCACTTATACCTTTGTCAACCACATAGTGTTCCTAGGAAAGATTATAAAATTGGAAAACACAAATAAAAACAATATTATCCAAGAAAGAAAGATCAATTAACATATAGGTGTTTAAATCGTTATTTAGGCCTTTTGTACAGCAGACATTTGGCTACTTGGAAATCAAATAGTATCCCAGTAAGGCATCAAATCCTACTCTATAACAATTTTTTATCACTTCAAACTTGATAAACACCAGTACAGTCACATTGCTCCATAAAAGAGAAACTTCTCATGACAAAGGCTAACACAAAATGGCTTAGGTCTGAATAACCATTGCCAGCAACAGCATCTTATTAGCCAAGATAAGCGACAAATCAATGGTTTGAAAGTCACTTCATGGTCAGTGCAGAGCCATTTATCTCCACTGACTCAATTAATTCTTCCAGTATCGTTAGGCAGATCAGTCAACAGAAGAAAGTAGATTTCTTAGTGACAACTTTACTAAGATGCCCTAATTGCCTCTTACTGCACTGGAATTGGCGACATTTCAAGATCCACCAGATAAACTGATGCACATACACAATCAGTAGATAAGAAGTGGAGCAATTCTTTTTTATTGCAACCCAAGATACTAATATGTAATACATTTTGCTGAACATTGACCTGCTTTTGAACAGTGACTAGCTGCAGCATAAGAGAATACTA